AAAAAAAAAAAAACAAAACACAAAAAGTCCATAATCAGGACTAAAGTAGTAGTTTAACAAAGAAAATAAGTTAGCTGCATTTCACCTCAAAATGCAGGAAGCAGCATTTCAGAGAGTCTCCATTTCAATATTTTCTGGGGGAGGAAACCCCCAGTCCCCATACGCAGCGCAAAGCCTAGAGATGTGATCCACCAAGGGGGAAACCCTATGAAATATTCCTAACTAAAAGCCCGGTTTGAGCGTGTTTATGCCTCTTTTATCTTCATGTTTATTCATTAACCCTCTAGAATCAGTCACCCGGGAGCTAATGTAGCACGGCTAAATTTCATACCCCCAGTTTCACTTCAAAATCAGCCAGTTTTTGGTTTTGAAAAAAGATTATAAGCAATAAAGAAGAGTATCCAGTGAGGCGCTTTACTGTGCTTCAAATAGGCAGCACAAAATGTATGAATACAAATAATCAGAAACATATCAAATCATCCTCACATCCATAATACCCTGAACCTAGTATTGATAATCCAAAGCAGCTGCTGGCTTATTCTCCCCCTTACCACCTTCTCCTCATCTTCAACCCCCCCCCCCGATGCCTTTGTTCGCTTGCCTACCTTCTTCATCCATCCTTTGCCTGGTGGGGCTGTTGCTAAGGAGCCCTGGCAACCGCAGAGTTGTCTGGGCAAGAAGGAGAGGTGAAAGGAGACGGCTAGAAGAAGAAGGATGAAGGTAAGGGGGGGTGTTGATGGGGGCTGCGATAAAGATGAATGGTTGGAGGAGAAGCACATAGTGAGAGCCAGATGTGCTCATGGCTGATGGCAAATGAACGTCAGAAGCAGCCAATGATCGGGGGGGCGGCGGCAAAGAAAACAAGGTAAAGAAACAGATAAAGATGGAGCATAAAAAAGGTTTAATAAAGAAAGGAGCCTCTGCAAACAACAGGGAGACGGATAGGTGTCTCTTTGTCATGTTGGGATCAAGGTTTCTATCCCACATGCAGAACACACGGACTCAGAGGGAAAAGTTCAACCGTTTATTGAAACACAATGAGAATAAAGAACTGATGTTTGGGAAACAGATCCAGGACTGGTCACAACTGAGTTCTCTGCAGAGAGGGACAGTTCGGTTAGCTGAGATCCAAATACTGATGTTTGTTGAATAATGCAGGTCTGTACCTGTTCAGTGATTTAGGCTGAGCGGCAGAGGGAGGGAACCAGGAGGGTCCAGAGGCGGAAGGTAGGCAGAGGGCTTGGCAGAGGCAGGGCTAGACTTCAGACTTTGCAGTGTTCAGATCAGGGTTACTTTCCAGTTCTCTTCTTGAGAGCGGGCAGGCAGGTTCTGATAGTTTGACTTTCCAGGGTTCTTCTGAGATCAGACTAGCTGGTTTAGGCTGAAAAACTCTTCCAGAGTTCCAGGGTTCGATCAGGTTCTTCCTAGGAAGCAGAGAGGACAAAAACAAGTTAGGTTCTGGTTCAGGTTTCAAGGGGAGTCAGAGAATCAGGCAGGCTGGTTGGCTCAGGCTTGCTAACCGTAACTGGCTTAACACTCTGGCACTGGAGTGTTGATCTGCCACTGCTTAAATGCTGGTCTCCTGATGAGCAGCTCCAGGAGACCTAGGGCGCCCTCTGCTGGAGAAAGGTGGACAGACCTCCAGATCCCAACACTATTTATTTGTTGAATTAACCCAGAGCTCAAGTCTGGACTCAATGAAACATGTTCTCACATTATAAACATACATCTGAGATTATGTAATTATGCCATAAACCGACATCCAGCTCTTCATAACTCGTCTGTGCTGACGGTGTCATCTGAGCTTCCTTGAGTTACGGCACACCATGTCTTTCTGTAGATTTGATTCTAAAACCTGGAACCAAACTAGAGCTAGTGTGTAGCAGTTAGCTTTTCATAGGTACGATGCAGATATTTTTGATTTATGCCCAATATTGAAGCGTGGTCTGCGCTATGTTATTCCACGCCACAACGCCAGAGGGCCAAT